TGTGTCAAAAAACATTCAAAAAAAAAAAAAACTATTTTTTCTTACCAAAATCTTAAGAATATTTTTGCGAGTGCTTTATAAGAAAAAAAAAATTTGCGATCAGTACTTACTGAGATACATATAGGGTGGGGAAATTTTAAAAAGTAAACCCGCTTTTTGCAACACCCAACGACTGCCGGCATTTGTAATTTTTTTTTAATTTTTTAAATTTCGATTTTTTTTCTTTTCTTTTCTAAAAATTTATTTTTCAATTTATTTTTTTGTGCCCTGTGAGCCAATATAATGCCAATTAAATGCTGTACAAGGGTTTACCTCGGGATACAAACAATTCGTTCCAGAAACCCAGTTCAAGCTTCGATCCCCAAAACGAATTTTTTCCCCATAAGAAATAATGTAAAAAAATTTAAATTTACCTTTTAAAGCCCCCCCCAAAAAAAACTTACAAAAGCATTTACATAAAAAACACTTCAAAATTGTTCGATTTTTGGGAGCGGTTCATATCCCGAGGTCCCACTGTTTTACAATACAGTGGCCCCCCGGTTTACGATCAGCCCCCTGCAAACCAATTAAAAAAGGTGAAAATTTAAAGTGCTTTGAAGTGTATGTTTGGGGGTCTGAAAGGGCCCTAACCCAAATTCAAAATTTTTCCTTATGGGAAAAAATTCGGTCATTTACGGGCACCCTTGAACAAAACTTGGGGGAATGAAATTTAAATATCTTTAAACCCGGGGGGTCCACTAAATATCCATTCTTAATTGAACCCAAAAAACGAAAACAAGCTTTTGTTATCATTATTTTGTTTACAAAACATTTTTAAAAAAAACCCCACACTCCCTTTCCCCAACCCCACCCCCATCCCCCTTAAAAATTGAGCTAAAAGTTCAAATTTCTGCCAATATTCAAGAGTAAACAAAACACGTCACTCTTTCCCAAAACATGACCAAGTGAAAGGTCCCAAAGTGGAAATTTAAGAAAAGCGTTGATATTATTTAACAGGTATTTTCAATACTTTTCATTTAAAAGTAAATTTTTCAATTTTTTTGAGTGAAAAAAAAATCAAAATGGAATTTTATGTGTGAAGCCGGGAATGAAAAAAAATGAAAAGAGGAAAAGTTTTTCTAGTGGGCCCGGAATGCATGCATTGTTTTTCTCTGAACCCTAATTTTTAAACTGGAAAGTTTTTAAATTTGTGTGCATTACCAAATTACCCAAATTTTTGATCACTTTTTTTGGGGGATTTGAAATAGTGAATTTTGGGAAAATTTCCCCTTTTGCTCAAAACCCCCTAAAATGAAAGACAAACTAGGGAAAAAGTAAGAATTTGGTCTCCGGGAAAAACCCCAAAAAAGGGCCTAAAAAAGGATTCCAAAAATGGGCAAAATCAAATGCGAAATATTGCTGGGCACGGTAAAATTCTCGAAAGCATAAATTTTATCAAATTTTTTATTGGGAAATTTTATACTTTTGCTTTATTAACCCTTTAAAAGAAAATTCTTTGAAATTTCATAAGAAAAAATAAACTTTTTTTTTACAAATTTTTGGACACCAAAGGGCAAAATTTTAGAAGAGGGTCTGGACAAGTTTTGGGTCTTTTAGCACAAAAGAGTTTTTTTCACAATTTTTATTTTAACTCGGTGGTTAAACCCAAAAGGGGTTTTTTTTTTCTTGTTTTAAGTCCCGACTTCTGTTGCCCGCTACAAGGATTTTCTGAGAAAGGGTTTTATTAAAATGACTGTCCATATATACAGGTTTATTAGACTTCCTACAATAAATATATTCACCACTCAATATAAGCTAAGGATAAAAATATCTTAAGGTAAATCATGTGTGTAATATATATGCACTTTTTAGGCTTAGCTCTATGGCTCACTTAATGTATGATAGCGTAAACATGTTATCAGGCTTTTATATGCATTTTATATGCATTTTATATGCCTATGTTTAATTTTACAGTGATTTTTCCTATACAGCAGTATCCCGGAACCTAACCTACTGTATAAGCGGGACCCACCTGTATATATGTACAGTATGAGTGCATGCTCTGTATATTGAGCAAGTTTAAACTTTGAAGAATGAGGGTGTGTCTTGTCTAGCTCTAGATTGAATAATCATTCGTACAGTGGCTATTTGTCAAGATATTACTCGTTTTAGGTGATTAGACCTCCTCATCAACACCTCTGGACACTGGCATTCCACAGGGAAGCATCCTTGGCCCCCTACTTTTCCTTTTATACATCAACGACACTTCCAAATGTATTGCAATAACTCAGACCTATTCTCTTTGCTGACGACACAACTTTTGTCATCTCCCACCCAAATCCAGCATCACTCAATAACACTGCTAATGAAGCGATCTTAAAAATATCAACCTGGATGACTACCAATAAACTTACACTTAGCACTGACAAAACCTTCTACATCATGTTTGGAAGCATAGTACGTAATGTTCAACTAAACCCTATGATTAACAATACTCTTATTGCTAACCGTAATGAGGGAAAATTTCTGGATCTGCACCTTGAAAGCAACTGGAAATTCAACACCTATATCCAACACACAACAAAAAAGTATTCAAAATAGTTAGCATCTTCTGATGTGGTGTACGTATTTGATAAATCTGGGATGAATGAAAGAATGAACACTACAGGGGATGTCTGAGAAAGAGTTGGAAGGAGTATGAAAAGATGACGTGAGGCTGGTATTGGACGTTCAACAGGAGTGACTCAGCGTGTTAATTGGGTTATAGGGTTAGACATGATTTAAGTTTCAAAAATTAGTAAATATGGTAAAATGCACAAGATCTTGAAAATCTGATAGGAAGGCTGCAGTTTAGTGAACCAACACTACTCAAATTAATAGAAAGAGACTAGTTAAGGTGATGAAAAAAAAAAAGGAGTCCAGTAATAAATTGAAAGAGCAAGAACAGGGACAGATCTACAATTTCTACATAGGATGGACTAAAGGGAGGCAATCTGTTCAGAAGGGAAAGCTAGGGGACTTGGCTTGAAGCTGCTTTAATATTTTTATTTGGGGGAAAGTTAATGGAGATTAGGGGGGAAGCCGAGGTGCTATTACTGAGCATAAATATAAATGAAGGAAAATGATATTTGGAATCCCTATACTTTACCAGATTACCTACAGTACAGTTATAAGGATGATGCAGTAATTTAAAATGTAAGTTTAATTTAAGACTGACTGATCAATTCGGAGTTTGTTTTGCAATACCATACATATTTTTTTTTTTTTAAAATTCTATGACAATACATATTAAGTTCAAACCTAATAAAGTTTTGCCTAAAATTAATTTTAGAAAGATCTTCTCATTCTCCTAACAAGCTCTTCCTACTGCACATTCGATTCACTAAGACAAAACTCACTGCATCTGTAGTCAAATTAAACTATGTCCAGTACTAATAAACAATCCAATAATTCTTAGTTTAAAACTTCTCTCAGTTAATAAACTAAAATTTTGTTACATAATCAACAATTAAAAAAATTCACACCTAATTATTTACATTTTCATATTTCATGTGTTGAAACTCTTGTAACAAGTATCTAGACCATCATTGAAATTGCTGTATAAATTTATAAGTGTAAATTCAGATAAACAAAAGTTTGGGTTTCCTTCTTTTAATTGAAAAAACCCTAATTTAAAATAAAGGGAACTTAGTAAAAAATTAATACAGGGGTAACCCCCAACATACCCACCCAAAACTGCCCATAAAAAAAAAATTTCATAGCACAGGGGCAATTTTACTCTGCTAAATGAAAGGTATTTTCGGAAACGGAATTTTTGTTTTATATTCATCAAAATTGTAAAAATTTTCCCACATAAATAAAGATTAAAAAGCCCAAATGAAATTCCCATTTGAGAAAAAATGGAGGTGTTTTTTTTTTTTAACTTTTACCAAATAACAATTTCCCCACATAAATATCTATTTTTCGGGGTATAGATAGCTTGCTTGCTAAAAATTAAAAAAAAAAATCACAAAGTTATAACAAAAATTTAAACCCAATTTTAAACCTAAAATTATTTATGGATTACTAAAAAACTTTATTTTATCTTTAAAATTTTAAACCCAAAAGAGGGGAAATTTAAATTAAAGAAAAATTTTTATGGTTAGCATTTCCAATTTTGTTTACTAAACCCTTAACAACTAGTCTCATTTAAAAATTTTTAACAAATTTCAAAATGAATTAAAAAATTTGGTAAAGATTCTATGTAGTATACAGTGTTATTTTCCTATGGAAGGAAAAGCTCGTCATACCGCAGTTATGCATCTCTCGAGACAGTACCGGTCTAGTAATAAAAATCCCCGATGATGAAAATGATGTTCATCATATTGTCGAGAGCCTTTCACAATGTAGTTTATTTTCTTGAGTATTTAACAGAAATAATACTCAAGTACAGCCTATTGTTACTATTAGATAAATCTGTTAATAAATTGTATAGTTCTTTCACTAGTTAAAATATATGTATAAATACCTTACAATTACTATATTAAAATTAAAAAAAATAGGAAAATGTAAAACCGCCCATAAGAAAGATGTGTTTGTGTAGCTACTTTACAGTACCTCTGTAACACCTTTTGTAGTGAACCTAAATAAAGTTTATTTTAAGTATATCTTACAAAGTTGTACCAAGTTAGTGCCCAAGAGTACACTTGTACTAACTACATTCTTACATGTAATCAAAGTTTTAAATGAATTGCTGTAGTTTTATTTTTTAATTTGGCTCTAATAAAAGTTTAAAGAATCAATAAGATACTTCAAGGTGTTTACTGTATGTCTTAATAACCGTAATTACTTATGAAACAAGTCGAGGACTTCCATCTTGTAGAGTTGTCTACAATATACCTCGAGATCACCACAACTCTCATAATACTGTTTACCTACAATCATATAGAAAAGATGACTATATTCTTGAGTTACTCCATACACAGACATTATTGAGCGTGTGAGTGTTTATATTAAGCAGGTGAGCGCGGCCTACCACTTACCACTCAGTGATCTCCGTCCTAAGCCTACATACTCTAGCATTTAGGCTTCCTGACAGGAGGCTTCAATCCATTTCCTTCCGTCTTGGTTCTGTCAAAACACAACAATAAGTAACTCGAGGCAGGTGAACAATAGAGATCCGCTACCACAAGTACCTCTCTGAATGTATTTACTGCCTTATATTACCTAGACTTAGATGCTCTTTTGTTTTCCTGAGTTTGTTTGTCTATTATTCCCCTCAGTTGATGGTTGTCAGGGGTCCCACCACGCATGTGCCACCTTCACTTTTCAATAGCCATTGCATTTTAGAAGGTTTCTACGCAGATGATATTTTTATAAGAGAGACACCCCCTATATTTAAACTAATATGGCTGCAACAATACTAATTTTACGAGAAACACTGTATTTTGGAAAGTAATTAAATAAATTGAATTTAGAATATGACATCCTGTCATAAGTCATAAATCAACAATCAAAGAAAACGGCTGAGAAATTTTCATATACAAAGCTTAAGATAAGACAAACTCAAGAAACTGAGGTAAGTAAGTAAGTAAGTTTATTCAGGTATACACAAATACAGTTACATAGAATTATCATACATACAAGCATATGTGTAGATTTAGATTAGATTTTGCCACCGAAGTGGCTAGTTTATTGTGCACACCATATCCATCCTGTGGACGGTAGCGCGAGAGCATATGGATACACAAAAGGCCTAGGAACTAGGCCCCAAAGGGTTAACAGGAATACATATGGATTTATATCTACATATCTATAGTTCACTTATCTGTTACAAGCAAATTTAGGAAATTTACTTAGTATATCTGGTATCTTATTTTCATTAATAAGATATCTTGACATGTCACATAGGTTATTATACTGTCTGTCTCTGTATTCCTCAATAAGTGGACAATTAAGCACATGGGTTTTTCAAGAGAGTGCCATATGCCTGATCACATAATTTACATTTAGTTTGATCATCATCTGTGTGTCTCCCAAACTGCCAGAAGACATAAAACCCAAAGCCTAAGCCTGGCCACTAAAACATCAGTCAGTCTGTTCACATTGCAAGTTGTTCCATAAACATACTTATCTACGTTCATGTTTTTCATAGTGGGTTATAGATCTACTCGGGCTTCTAACTGCATTCCTATAACAATCATTTTCATTATTTACTTCTCTCCTAATATTATTCCTAATACTAGACACAGTTATACCAAAGTTATATTCTACATTCTCCTTCTGGGTACTCTTTTTGGCTAACATATCAACTTTATCATGAAGGAGTAATCCAATGTGTGATGGGATCCATAGCAATTGTACATTAATTCCTTTGTCCCTAATTTTTGAGTATCTATACCTGGCTTCCCCAATGAGCATGTTGTTGGAGTCATTATATGAGTCAAGAGCCTTCAATGATGACATAGAATCAGTTGTGTACGAATGGTATATAATACCGACAAGATGAGAGTAAGACACATGTGCAACATCTGGGTATCTTTATTGTAGACGTTTCGCCATCCAGTGGCTTTATCAATACAAATTCTAGGACATAACTTGAAGACAGTAGAACTATGTACAGAAGATGAGGTAATCAGTCCCTCAACCTAGGAGTAGGTGCGAACAGCACCATAGTCGTGGAGATTCTGAAGCAGAAGAAAGAATCCTGGCGCTTATATAGTAACATCAGGTGTAGCAGACGAGGGCATATTCACTGGTAGGCGGGATTCCCCATGGAAGTAGGTCCTTCCCAAAGAGATGGGTTAGTTGTAGTAGTAGATGTCATAGTCGTGAAGGTTATGTATATGTTGAGGGACTGATTACCTCATCTTCTGTACATAGTTCTACTGTCTTCAAGTTATGTCCTAGAATTTGTATTGATAAAGCCACTGAGGGGCGAAACGTCTAACAATAAAGATACCCAGATGTTGCACATGTGTCTTACTCTCATCTTGTCGGTATTATATACCATTCGTACACAACTTGTCAGACACTGCAACATCATGGAATCTTAATTCTGAGGACATGTACATAACCTTCACGACTACGACATCTACTACTACAACTAACCCATCTCTTTGGGAAGGACCTACTTCCACTGGGGAATCCCGCCTACCAGTGAATATGCCCTCGTCTGCTACACCTGACGTTACTATATAAGCGCCAGGATTCTTTCTTCTGCTTCAGAATCTCCACGACTATGGTGCTGTTCGCACCTACTCCTAGGTTTAGGGACTGATTACCTCATCTTCTGTACATAGTTCTACTGTCTTCAAGTTATGTCCTAGAATTTGTATTGATAAAGCCACTGGATGGCGAAACGTCTACAATAAAGATACCCAGATGTTGCACATGTGTCTTACTCTCACATAGAATCAGTAATGATGATAGAGTCAAGCTCAGTGTCATAGGTTAGCTTTAGCGCCATTAGGATTGCAAACAATTCAGTTTGCAGTGTAGACGCCCAGTTGTTAATTCTTATGCCTAACCCAACAAATTTATTATTGTTCTTAATAGGAGGTGGCAACAAGAGCAGATGCAGCCCTGGCCAGAAGACTCTGTTTAGATCATCAGTTTATATAATTGCGATAAACATATTATACCAGCTAGGTGAGAAATTTCTTCTTGAGCAGTTGCTCATAACAGAGATTAGGAAGGGATTTATAGCCAATATGCTTCTTGGGAGGTCTTGTAGGGTATGTGATATTAAAGTGAACACATCCTTCCATGGAGGGGTGAAATGCTCTTGTTGGCCTACAGTGATACAGTTCATGTAGGTTATAAAACTTAATGCAATTGCACGTTTTCACAATCCATTTAGATCTGTGTGTATTTACTCTAGACACTTGGTAAGATTCACTGAGACGTGTCTGGGTCGTTTCTCAACATTCTAATACGAGTTACAGATGTTAATTTCAACAATCCTTCACTGATAATAGAAATACCAAGCTCCTTCCTCATGTTAAGAACTTTTGCTAGATCTGGACAGCCAAAGAATTATCATGAGAGCTCATTTTTTGCATTAACTCAAGGGTCGGAGAGAACTTTCTCTAGACTAATATCAACTTGGGAGCAGCATAATCAATTAAGGAACCTAACATAGGCTATGTAATCATTCTCACGATCTACTTAGCACCCATAGTTGGGATTGTAGCCAGAAACAGTTTGAGAGCATTTAGCCTAGCTTTGCATTTCTTGTTTAGTTGTGGTATAGTGGATTTGTTAAAGGTAACATCTACACCAGATATCTGTAAGTTTTAACGTAGCTAATGAATTTCACCCTGCAAATAGATGGGTGGGGAGATGTCGTTTGCTTGTTAATATCTTTGTTTTAGAGGAAGATATTATGAGGCCTAGTCGATACAAATTGCTTGAAACTTCATTATTAAGAAATGGAATTATCTTCAAATGCCCTGTTGTATGGATCATGATATCATCAGATAGCTTATAGCATATGTTTAGGTGGAGGCAGGTAGAGCATTTAGGAGAGCATTAATCAGAAATTAAATAGATGGGACTAAGAACTCCTCCTGCGGTGTACCTCAAAGACATTTCTTTAGAATTCACTTTTGAAGCCTTGTAAAGGGACAGAGGATACTCTATTTGCAGGTTCCTATTATCCAGCAGAGTAAGCTACCACCAATATTCATTTTGGCTAGATTCATGTAGTATAACGGTTCTGTTGCAAATATCAAATGCAGATTTTAGATCAAGAAAAAAGTGGTTAAAACTAGTAGAGGTCGTGTTGCAGTGAGGAAAGGTGGAAATACAGTTTGCACACTTTACCTTTCATGAACCCATAGAGGTAGGGGGAAAGTTGGTGTCTGATTTTTCCTGTTAGTACAGTCTGTTAAGCTCATTCTTTCAAAAGTTTTTACAAAGACAAACCTAGTTAAGGAGATCGGCCTAAAATGGTATCAGGCTGTTGGGGCTTAGGAATAGGCACAATTGAGACTATTGGTCAGGAAGTAGGAAGAACGCCCTCATGTAACTGAGATTTACCATTGCCAAACAAAAGGGTTATCATGCACGTGCCTTAGATTCTGAGATATCATGGTTAATACATTCCTCTCCAGGAGCAGTTGATCGGACCTTTGGTTAATGCATTATCTAATTCATACTCGGGTTAAAGAGGCAATCACTCTCTTCAATTTTGGTCATAAAATAATCAGTTTCAACATTTCTTCAGAAGTACGTCTCGGCTGAGAGGTTGAGGGAGTAGACGTAATGTGCTGGGGATCTGCACCTACTAAATTGCAGGCCTACCCATTTCTCCGACTGATAAGTCATCATTAAAAACTCCTACTGTTGGAAGACAGCTCCAGTGTTGTGAGGAACTTTATGTGCGAGCTGTGATAAGATATACCTAGTGAAACATTGGAAATAGTTTCCTTTTTGTTAAAGGCCTCACAGGCCTCTGCTTCCCTCTGCCCTTTCATTTGACATCAGCTTTCGCCTCTATCAACATACAGTGTGTAGAGGCGAATTTGCTTGTCCACTGCTACTCGTGCCTCTCAAAATGCTCACAACTCATCGCTGTTCAACCTGAGGAATAACGACGAGTGTTTGCAGTCCTACGTGAGTTGGTTAACCCAGGTGTCCACACACTGAAATTCGTCTCACTCCAAGACAGGGTGTGCTAGAATTTTTTTCAAGTTGGAGTATCAATCTGGTACAAATATTGCTGTGTTTGGTAACTTTGAGAGTCTGCCTCAGCCTGTGACCTTGAGCGTGAGGCACTGCATCATCTGCTTGAACTTTCGCCATATTGACTAGTGATAAAGGCGAATGTGCGTTGCTCAGTTACCCCTGTTGTTTCTCCTGTATCTACAAAGTCCACCTTTAAAACTCAGCCGTTCGCCTCTATCAACGACGTGGCAGTTGTGGAGGTGTTTTGCAGCTCCGCTGGGTACTCGAATATGTGAGTTCCGCAAGTGGTGCAGATTTGTTGTAAACTATTTGGCATGAGTGGATTACGCTGACTTAGGACATCTGTGGCTAACCATTCAGTACCTACGTAGGCTTAAAATGAGTGAGGAATGTCTGGCCTGCTGGGTGACCTTGAAAATGGCACTTAGACCCGCACAGGCCAC